AACTCTTTAATGACTCCAGGTCAGTTCATACCTCCACCAAATTGTACTTTTGCAGCTGTAGGCATTTGTATGTCTAGTGATGATGCAAGTTTCAATAAAATCTGTCCTGTGGTTTGTGAGATATTTCGCTAACACGACAGGCAAACCCATTATCGCCTATCAGCTTTTGGCACTTGGATAAGAGAACTGCTGGGTACAAAGTGAGGTACAAATTGACCAGTGTACTTTCTCATTCACAGAGGAGTTCTTTGTTTTCCTGCTTATTGTTTCAGTTTGCTGCTGCGTGACCAAAGTACTCTGTTTGGGCACATCTGAATGACATTTTTATTTTCACTGATGTTCCTACAGTTCACTACAAAATTCAATGACCGAGTCAAAGGGTTGCTCCAGAACTGGACTTTATAGTGACCTCTGCTAACATCGTGGTGGTCTTTTCTCCTCCCTGTCCATCAGGTTCAGTCTGCTGGCCTCCAGCAGGACTTACACAGACTACACAAAGAAGACAACGAACCAGGAACTGTGGATGCTCCTAAATGACATCAATATGGACATAAAGAAATCCACCAAGGAGAGAAAGCACCTCCTCAAACAGTTTTACCAAGTCTACCTAAAATACACAGTATTTTGGTAAATCTGGGCCACTGAGTTGTAGACCCATGAAAATTTGGTTTAGTCTCAGTTTTACCTTTTGTTTTTTTGTTTTTTTTTCTATTTTGTAAATATAACTGACTCATGACTCAAAAATGTGCTGTAGTTTAGAGGAATGATGTTAAGGTTTGGTTAGTGATACATAATATACATACACATATGGGGGGAGTGGTGGCGCAGAGGTTAGAGAGGTGGGCTTGTGATCCGAAGATCGCCGGTTCACGCCCCGGCCCCGACAACATCAAAAAAAAAATTGTGGGTGGGGTAGGTGAAAACACCCACACTTGCCCCCACCCTCATTCGCCCCACTCTGGGCCCATGAGCAAGGCCCTTAACCCCCACCATGTGCTCCCTAAACAGGTCTCTCTTGAAAATGAGTTCTCGTGGCTCAATGAGACTAACCTGTATAAATAAAGGCTATGTATAAATAAAGGCTAAATGAAAAAAAAAAAAAAAAAAAAAAAAAAAAATACAAAATATACTTCACTGTCCTTCTTTAAAACTCTTTACAAACTCATTTTTACTCCATGGCTTTTAGCACAGACTGAATTTGCTCTGCACTGTTTTTATTGTTCTTATCTTAATGTTTTAATAACTGTTTTGTTTTTTATGTGTTTAAACTTTTGTGATTTGTGTACAGCACTTTGCTGCAGCTGTGGTTGTTTTAAAGGGCTTACAAAGTATAGTTATTTTAATATAGACGGGTACACACCAGGCAAATACTGTTTACATACCAGGTGTGTGCCCTGGCAAACATCAGGTACATACCAAAAACTTGCCAAGAATATATTTGGTAAATACCAGGTACATGTTGTGTAAATGCTGGAGACTTACCAGGTACATACGTGCCCAGGTAAATGTTGGTTATATAACGGTTATGCTCCTGGTAAATGTTGCATACCAGATATGCTCTGGGTAAATGTCAAGTATGTTCCAGATAAATGTTAGGTACATATCCTTTATGCACTTGGAAATGTCAGTACATACCACGTCCATGTCAAGTAAAAATTGGGCATGTAGCTGGTCTGGTATTTGTCAAGTGGGCCACATGTGTCACGTAAGTAGGTACTTTTCAACTAGGTAAAAATCAGGTAGGTGGGTACTTAACAGGTAGGTTGGTGACTAAGTATTTAGTTACCGAATAAAAAACAAAACAAGTACCAGGCAGTTACTACCAATCTGGGGTATGTATCAAGTAAGAACTCACCTACCAGTCGAGAAATAAGTCACATTCATTATGTGTCACCACTGACGCGTTGCATTTTTTTATGCATCACCGCTGACCACCCTGAAACGTGGGCCGGTGTTGTGCCAAAAATCCATTGGCTGCCAAATGCGGCCGTGGGAGTGTGCATAGGAGGACTTTAACACGATTAACAATTAAAAACAATTATTTGTTTGCTCAACATTATAGTAAAGGTGTGTCTCAGTTTAACTTTTCCTTAATAAACGCAGTTTAATGGTCGAATCATGTTCTGCTCACAGACTCATGTTCATGTTTGTGCTGATGTTCAATGTTTTATGTTATGAGTGCTTAGTGTATATTTAGTTGATGTTTTTCTTAGTTCATATCTTAGATGTTATTACTGTTTTTCTTAGACATTTTATTGTTGGATGTAACTGGGACCCCGTGTACATAATTTCGCTCCACCACATGTACCACATGAGGTGCGAATGACAATAAAGAAACTCTGACTCTGACTCTGACTCTGAATCAGCTGCATTTCAAAAATCGAGTCGCGGCTGCGGGAGCACACAGAGGGAGGACTTGCTGTGCATTTCTTTGAAATTTATCAACATAACCACATAAGAACAATTATTTGTTTGCTCAACATTAACTTTTCCTTACTAAATGCACTTTAATGGTGAAATCAGCTGCATTTCGCCTGGGAGGCGCAGTGAAATGCAGCTGATTTGACGTTTGCTCCAGGAGTTCTGGAGTGAGATGAAGGTGGCCGCTATGGCAAGGCAAGTGTCTCATTAATAGCCACGTTTACCTATTAATGAGACACTTGGCTTGCCATAATGCTCGAGGGCCCTATCAGAATGAATGAAATCGTCAGATCTCAGCTGAAAATTGGATTATAAATATGGGGGAAAAAACGTATATTAGTCACTTTGAAGTCGCAGGACTTGCAAATTTATGCAAAAAGTTGCGACTTATACGACGAAAAATACGGTAACTGGCTTTCAGATGAGTCAGAAGGCCCTTCATTGTTCAAATTCACTTTATTTTCATTTATATATGTTTTGAAAATGACCACAAATCAACAAAATGCCAACAGTTTGTGCTTTTCCACAACTTTATTCTGTTCATGGTAATGAGATTGATTTCTATATCCTTTAACCGCACTGATACACGCCACTCCAAGGTCAAGGTGTATCCACAAGCTAACCTTACATGAATCTTTTTAACGCATTGAAGCCAAAGCTCATTTTGTTTTTGTTTAAAAAATTATAAATTGGTTAGATCTGTTGGTATTTTTCTTACCTTAACCGAGGTCAGGTGTGTGTCGTTTAATTTACAAGACATTTTTAATCAGGCAAATTGGACCAAAATATAATAAAACTGGTTTATATATATATATATATATATATATATATATATATAAATATATATTTTTTTTTTTACATTTTTCACTTATATGCAATTTCAGAGACAAAGCATTTGTTCATGTTTATGTATTTGTTTAGCATTTCTGAAAGCTGAGCATGTTTCAAATATAACGCTAACTGGTTTTTAGATGTGAATTTAAACACACAAAATGACGTTCACTTACTTGAAAAAAAACAAATCCACTGAAATGAATAAAACTGTTTTTTTTTCTTAAACAAAAACAAAGTTCTGTGCGTTACACAGATGAAACTGGATTCTTATGTCTTTGTTTAAAGTAATTATGATCTCCATGCATAAAGAAATGAATATGCGTGTTAAGTATGACAGTCAGTTTAAGCACATTTGACTAAATCCAGCCATGATAACAGGCGACAGGCATTGTGACTAATCTGTGCCCACAGGCTTCAGAGATGCTGGCCATGTCACACCCACACGACCTGCCCTGACACATCAGATTTGTGCTGATAACCAAATACCAGCCTTCACACATGGAAATACAGTAAATACAGCGCAGATACATCCGCAGTGATGTCATTTTCTAAAGAGCAGCAGAGGATCAGCTCATCTGGATGACATGCGAGGCGTTTTTGGGAAGTGAATGAACCGAATGATGGACGTGTATCAATTTAACAGAATGAGATGTTTATTTATTTTAGAACAAAATTCAATTAAATCAGACTACTGAACTTATACAAGAAGAATGAAGTACAACCAGTGCTTTTTCTCTGTCCATGGTGGCAGCTCACTGAAGCACCAGTGAGTTTTTACATTTTATCATGTTATGACCACAAAGGATGCACGGCACACTTTTAATAGTTTTTGTGTTAATAATTCCATCCATCCATTATCTTTACCCACTTCTTCCTTTTTGGGTCACTGGTGCCCATGTCCAGCCATCACTGTGCAAGAGGTGGGGGACACCCTGGACAGGTCTCCAGTCCATCAACAAATGAGACAAACAACTCACTCTCTCACTCACACCTTGGGACAATTTAGTTACCAATCAGTCTAACATACATGTTTTTAGTCTGTGGGAGGAGACCACGAGTACACGGAGAAAACCCACGCACGTATATACACGTACGGAGAGAACATGCAAACTCCATCTAGAAAGGCCGGGATTTGAATCAGTGACCTTCTTGCTGAGAGGCAACAGCTCTACCAACTGAGCCACCATGCTGCCTATGTAAATACTTAATTTTGAAAACATTTATAATTTTTCTTTCACTTTACAATAATGCAGTAATCTGTGTTGATCTGCCACAATAAAATCCCAAGGAAATATTTTAAGGTTTGCAGTTGAAATGTGACAAAATGTGAAAAGATTCAAAGGGATATAAAAACTTTTTCAAGTTCTCTACAAGATACTTAGGGTATTTCAAATGACTATCATTTGTGATCGCTCATAATAATCTCATAATTACAGAGCATATTAAACTTTCAAAGTTGGATCAGACCTTCCACTGTAAATACTAAAAAAATACTTTGTGTATTTAAAAGTTTCATATCATTTGGCTTCTTATCAGTAAACTTAAATAACTCGCGTGTGTAAGTGTTAAATAATCACTGTCTATCTGTGTTGAACATGAGGAGTGGTGGTGCAGAGATTAGACTGCCGGTTCAAATCCTGGACCATTACATAAAAATGTGGGTGGGAAAGGTGAAGCACTCACCGACCTCCACCCTTATTCACCCCAGCCTGGACCTTTGGGTGACCTTAACCCCTCCATCTACCCTATGGAAGCCCCTCTGCTCCACACGTGGGCTGCGGTAGCTCCATGGTCTGTGGTAACATCAGGAAGGACATCCAGATAAAACTGTTGTGCAAGTTCACTTGCTATGGACAAACAAACAAACAAACAAACAGAGTTTAATGTGATTTATTTAACGTTGCTTCTTCTTTTCAGAATCCTTCTTGTGTACACCTGCATGGCAGGAACGTTAATGTGAGAGTGCGACATTGATCCTCTTCGCGACAAACAAACCTTCTGGATGTCTCTGCATTATCAAAAACTTCAACGCTTATGGAAATTATTAACAGAAGCAAACTAAAAGAGGGCGTGGTCAGAAAGCTGAACGTGTCCGGTGTTTCTTAAGACCACATCTGTCTAACACATCAGCTGCAGCAAGGCTAGTGCTATTTAAACGAGTCCTAAACTGTAATCTGTATACGACTACACTGGGATTAGTGTGGGCTTATTTATTTTTATACAAATATTCATATTTATAAGGGGCCAAAATGTTGTTTGGTATTTATGAAAATAAAGTGCAGCACTTTTAACAGCCTCCATGTACTGCAGCACCCATGGGAGATTACTGATCGAATAGATATGGATAAACATCTTTTGTCTAGTGTCTGTCCAAAAGTTTGTTTAGTTATTCAATATTATTTAGTCTAAACTAAAAGTTTGAGAATAACAAACAGTTATAAACATTGTTTTCCAGCCTGGACACAGATAAAAAAGGCATCGCCATAAGGACATCATTACTGACCTGACGCTCCAGTTTTGCAAGCACAAAATAAAGATGAATTAAAAAAATAAATAAATAAAAACCCGCAAATGTATGAAAATAATAAAAGCATAAGATACAAATACTGAGTCTATGAAATATAAAAGATTTTCAAATGATGTAAAATAAAAAAAACTTTTATGAACATCTGATGTCGATTAGAATTGATTTAGTGTTTAAATACGTTACGATGTTCCTGTGGTAAAAAGAACAGTTTTTGTATTGATGTAATTAAACACAAGCTGCTGCTCCTCCTGAAGGCTCTAAATGTTACAAATGAATGTTATAAACACCAGATCATGAATGCATTTTAGAGCAATGTGTGTCAAAAAGCACAAATCAGAAACGGTCACGTTGTACCGATAGTGTTTCGTCTCGTCATGCATTGTATGCCTACGATGAGCATCATTTTCTATAATAAATACAAATAAAACAAGACAAAAATCAATTAAATTATAATAAAAATAAACATCTCACATGGTGACAAAGTCCAAGGAGAAGAGACGGGTTTCAGGAGGAATTTAAAAACAGCCAAGAAAGTGAAGCTCCTCCATAATTTTGGAGCTGCAGCAGAGAAAGCCCAGCAGCTTCTTGTTCCAGGCAGAAGCAGCTGATCACTGAACGAGTGCTTGTAGCTCAGAGACACAGAGCAGGCCAAGATCACGGAAGTCTTTAAAGTAAAAACATTTTAAAAATTAATCCCAAAATGAACTGGAACTTAAATGGGTGAACGGTGTTAATGTGTAGCAGATAAAAGATGCGCGACAGCTTTTTGTACCCGTCACAGGTGATCAACACAATGAACCACTGAGCTCGTTTCGCTGAGCTGAGTAGTAAAAAGGCACCGTTTACCGTCTCAAAATGCTTCTAATAAATAAAATAAAAACAAACCGTTTTACTGTATTTTAGCCAGCTGCTTAGTTTGCAAACAGCTCAATTTGACCTCTGACCTGATCTGAGTGTTGAGTTAAATATCAGTTCACGTTGACCTCAACGCTTGTGATGGTTGGTTTACCTTTTGGGCCAAGGAATCAATCCATGAGGAGTCTCACTGGGAAATATCTCATTGTTGATTTTTTTTTCTTAGTAGTTTTAAATAATTAGAGCAACTCAGGGTTTTAGATCAATAAGGAATTTAAGAAATGGTTTCAAAGAAAATGAGTCCTCCTGAGAGGGACATAAATCTGACAGAAACAGCAAAAAAATGAGGAGCTCTAAACCATCCCAGTTACAACCCTGACCAGTTCATCTGTCCATCACAGGGCCACACAGCCATGCTCTTCTGATCATTTGTCTCCAACATCTAACTGTGGCTCGAGTCGAGAGCAGGACCACACCTCCAGTCACGAGCAGCTTCTTTTGTCTAGTCACTCTACAGCAATTTGTCTCGTGCTAACACCCACCTTCCCTTTCCAGTATTCGTACTCTTCCAGTATTCGTACTCTTCCAGTATTCATACTCTTTTTTTTTTTTTAATCCATCTTTTCTGCCTCAACCCTTTTCATTCATCTGCATTATTTCCAGGTTGGCTGCACATCTTCAGTGAATACTTCAGAGGGCTTTACAGAGCGGGTCCAGTTCCACATAATTCAGTTCAGCTAGATTGACTTCCTTGAAGTCCAGTCCGCCATTCCTTCTAAAAGCTTTTATCTGACTTTCTTCCCTAACAACATTCACTTATCCATCTGGGTGGGTCCTAGCCAAGTAGAAATCCTCCTCGAACTACTCCATGTGTGTATTTTAGAGTAACCCATTTTCAAACTTTATAGCAAAATGGGGAAAAAAAGACAAATCCAAAGAAACCAGGTGCATTTGTTTTTATTTCTTCAATGACTAGAAATTTGACCATGTGAAATATGCAGGGCACTTGATCCTCTGGTGGTACCAGACAAACCCAACTTATGTTTACTGCCAGTTAAAGTTACAAGAAAAATCTTAAAAAGACATCCATGTAACAAAATCTGAGTTTCCAACCCCACCCCCCTATAACAACAAACAAAAAATAAAAAAGAGCATGAAATAACAATTACTGTCATCAAATGAAATAAATACGGAGAGTTCGCTCCATTTACAGACATATACGCTAATCTAAAGTTTTTAGTAATAAAAATAGAACTTCAGTGCAATTCCTTTGACTCATTTCTGTGCTCCTTCAGTGTCTCAATGATGACACTTAGTTACTCTGGCAATAAATCAATGGCCTTCTGAACAGAAACAATCAAAACACCAAATGTTGACCTTCCTTTGCAACATAAAAAAAATCATAAGAAAACAAAAATTCACAGACTTCTCTTTGTGTATCTGTACTCAATATAAAAATTACACACAAATGTGGACAGAAAAGGCACATGAAACTAGAATTGAAGAAAAACTTAAAAACAAAAATAATATTTTTCTGTAAAATTTTGGTCATTTACATTATAATCCCTACCTACATATTACATATGTATACATACATACACACACACACACATATACATA